GCTCTTCAGATGGGAATTTCTCAGAATCCATCTGGCAGCACTTCACATCTGTGGGCTCAACAGATTTTTTTTTCAGTCAAAACAAGCAGTTCCAAACACTTACAGGAGATTTGCATAGATTAAGAGCAGGCCACCCCAACGCTCACCTCCCTGCCCCAGCGGAGGGTTCAGACAAGACAGGAATACAAAGGATGGGAGCGCTCATTTTGTCTAATGGCAAAAGCCACTTACACTCCATTAGGTTTAAAGCTAAACCTTGTTGGGTTAGTCGTTCAACCGTTGTTAAAAGGCATGGGAAGAACCGTTTTTCTGGTATATACCAGTCAGTTTGTACCTTTTTCTTCTCTACGGTATAATGCGTTCCTTTACAAAACCGTGGGGTCTTGCCATGAGATATCCTCGCTTCTTTGAGCTCAAGGGAACTAAATCTTTAGGTCAAATATAGCAAAACTAGATGGGGAGGGGAGAGAGGATGAAATCAGCTGTAACTTACGCTCCTCAGCTCAAGGTAGTCAGATTTGGCCGATGGAAGAGGTAGCTCTGAGCTGCAATCTCAGATTAAGGCCATAGACTCAGACTCAGGTCTGCTCCTGTGTTAAACTGCAGGAACAGAGCTGTAGAAGCCAGCAAACCACTTGGATAAATCCCCCCGAATAGCTCTTCAGGACTCGAGTGGCCCAACCGATGTCGTGGAAAGAGTTTGGGATAAATTCATTTTTACTCCAGCTTGTTCTCATTTTCATGTCAAACCAAAAACCAAGCTACCAGTTTCTCTGAGCTGTGATCAAATATTCTGTAAGCTGCCAGTGTATCTTAGTAATGAAAATCCAAGCCAAACATCTTAATGTGAAACAACGATTTTTTTACAGTGTTTTCTAAGATAATCAAGCACGTTTCAGCAGGTTGGTGTTGAACAAGTATATTAATAAACATTTAACATTTCAAAAGCAACTGAGACACGCAGGATGTTAAATCCTAATGAATGTCAAAGCAAGACACAGTTACAGCTTCCGTGGGAGTTTCAGAAACCACCTCCCAGTTGTTGACTCTATTTAGAAGAGAAGTTAAAAAATTGGGTCCTCTCCAGAAACATTTGAGGTGTCTTGCCTGGAAGGCCAATGTTGAGTGTGTGACATTAAGACTCCTCTTCCTCTGCTCATCGTACCTGGACTTTCCCACAAGGCAGTATCTACAGGTCTTCTAGAGCTTCTTCTTCCAACCCACCCAAGGTATTTCTAACACATACACAGACAACATTTGCTGGTTCCTCACAGATTTCCTTCTAAAGACACCGAGTCTACTTTTTGCTTTTTTTTTTTCTTTCTTTTGTGTGCCATTTCCTATTTTTCTTGCCAAAGAGGAGTCAACTGTGCATGAGCAACGAAAGTGCTTTGTCAAATATAACCTCTGCCCTCTGGTACAACCAGGGCAAGAAATTAAAAGAAGGCATGACAGGATAGAGCTTGCAGTTTGGCTGAACCAGAAGAAACTAAAGCCCCACCGAGTTCTAATTTGAGCCCTTTCTTTTGGAATGGTTCGGTACTAGGCATTAAAATAATCTCCCATCCCTGGTAGGTGCGGTTGGAGGTCATGGCTGATGGTAGCCAGGTCTACCATGGTAGCTAGCTCTGTACAACTCCCAGGTGATAAATGTCCTGGAAGTCGATAGCTGTCACTCACAATTCACGGCAAATGCCCCACAGGTATTTCCTCTATGCCCTGAGCCCAGCAGGGCCTAACCCATGAGATACCACATCTGTAGCAAAAGTCACTGGTACCCAGTGGGTCAGTAACTGGTCTCCATCATTGTGTGACAGTTCACTGGGGCTGGATCCGCATCTCCAGCCTTGAGACTTGTTAGGTACCAAGGGTGCCCCTTAGTCAAAGAGTGACAGGGTGTGGGCAAAGCCCAGAAAGCTGAATTGAGCTGAGTGACTCTTCTAGTTTGTCGTCATGGAGAGGCAAGCCCTGCTCTCCTGAAAGGGGATGCAAGGTCACCACCAGCAAAACCACAGCAGAGGCTGCACAGGATGACTGGTTGGCTCCAGGTTCATGCAGGTCACCACCCTTTAGCTTGTCCCAGGGGCCTGTGATTTCTGGGTGCTAAAGGCTCTGGAGCAATTTACTGCATCGCATAGTGGGCTGTTAGAGGTGAAACCATATGGGAGAAAAGCTCATGCTACCAAACCTGGCCAGCTGAGACATTTCAAAGAGGATTTTCAGGTCTTGTTTCTGTTCCTCTGGCTTGTTAAAAGAAAGTTGTTTCAGAGCTAAGACTCCCCAGTTTAGACCTTTTTGTGTTCTTCATTTGCACTGTCTGAAGGTCTGTGTGCGCAGATCAGCGTGCCAGCAGGTCTGGTAGCAAGAAGAAATAAACAAAATGTAGACCAAGAGGCCCTGCTGCCTACAAGTGATATAACCTATGAGACCTCAGCCTTGTGAAAATGGTGAGGGAACAAGTAAAACTGGAATAAGAATGGGAAAAATCTGAAGGTCCCAGAGAATTGGGGCAGGTTGCTCTTATCTCAGCAGCCAGGAGCCCTCATGAGCCTGGATTTTTCTCACCTCTTGATACAGGCCAGCTAACTGTTCTCCCTGGTAAAAAAATAGGATTTGGCTTTATGGCAACGGTAGGATTTTCCATTTCTGTTCACTTTCAGTGCTCCAGCTGGGCACAGTTTCTGCATTCTTGACTTTGCCAGAGACTTTGTTATTTATTGGAGTTGCAGTACCAGTACCAGTGAGAGGAGGTTCACTGTGCCAGGCACTATATGTGCCCTAAAGTAAAAGATGACCCCCATTGCGCCAGGCCATACACCCCCTCGTCTAGGTAAGGCATCATCTGTTGTTATTTAATTTCAAGGAGTCAGAGCGGCTCTCTTGAGCACCTAGGTCATATTAATCATAATTTAGATCTATTTCTAAAACAACCACCCAGCTCCCTGAGTTTTCACTCCTTGTTCATGGAACATCCCATAGATGGGCATGTCCCTTCTCCAAAAACATCTCTTTCTGTTCAAAACTGCTTTCTCCTCATCAGACTCGCTGCTCGGTGCCACCAAGAGACATGATCTCAAACCCTTGGATGTGAACATGGCATCTCTGCACTGAGAAAAGGATGAAATGCAGTACGGTTTTGCCCAAGTTTAACACGGTTTGGCTTCCCAGTTAACACCGCACCTGGATTTACGCCAGACTGAAGTTACAAAACGTGTAGACATTACTCACAAGAGGCAAGGCCAATGCTTTAAAATAACCTCAAAGTTACTGGCAGCACAAAGCCTATTTTTCCAACAAAAATGACTTTGTTAAACACACTTGTGTTACGTGAATTTAGAGACCATGCATGAAAGTCACAGAGGCCTCTCTCAAGTTTTGACTCCATGTTGAAATGCATTTCCCTTCCTCCTTTGGCTTCAGTACGTAGTTTCTCTTGTGACCTGGCTGGAAAATGTGTGGTTGCTGGAGATGCTGTTGGATTTCCTGGTGAAGGCCAGTCGTTTCTTCTTCTTCCTCCATGGCAGGCACAGGAGTGTGAGTGTAGAGAGGAAGATCTGTCGGAAGTTTGCAGACACCAGGTTGTAGAGGATGGGGTTGATTGCCGAACTGACGTAGAAGAGGACATTTGTCAGCATGTAGAAGTAGTGGTAGAAGTTGAAAAGGAAACTGCAAGGACAGATGAGAGGTAAAAATCTAAATAGAGTGTGGAGAACTGGAATAATTCAAAGTCACAAGGGTGATAAAAACATGAGCTAACCTTTCTCGGCTGGGGACATGAGCTTGCTGATGGTGTATGAGCCACCAGGAAAACATCTACGTTTCCAACTGGGACTGGCCAAATGTAGGTCAAATGCCCCTGCAAAGGTCTTCCCCAATCACTAGAGTTAGAAACTTATCTATGCCCTGGGTTGGGACATCCTATTCACCTCATGCATTCATTTTGTCTTTGAAAATTGCATTCTGGAAACTGAGAAGCCAGATGGAAATATGTTTCTGTGTCATGCATATACATTAACTTGACTTTTCTGGCTGCAGTTCTGGTCTACAGAGCCTGCAGAAGAGCCAAGACCCACGGAAATATGTTTCTGTGCCATGCGTATATATTAACTTGACTTGGTCTACAGAGCCTGCAGAAGAGCCAAGACCCACTAACAGATGCAGCTCCCTCGTCCCCCCGGCAGTGAGAGCTGCATCAGCTCATTCAGTGGGTCTCTGGGTTGGGATTTGTCTGTAATCTAGGGTAGCATTCTCTATTCTGGGGGCAAGCTGATGACAACATGAGTTTGAAACATATCCTGGCCATCACAATATAATGTTTTCAACTAGAATTGGTTGAAAAAATGCTTAATTTGGGGTTTGGTTTTTGGTTTTTTTTTGGAAATATCCTTCCTTGGGACAATCAAGATCAACAGCTCTAAGCTGGTAAAGCATTTATAAACAACATGGGTCTCATTTTCAGGAAGATGTTCCCCAGGATCATTTAACTCCGTGGAAATTGCAGACTTTTTTGTTAGCCTGAGCACTGTCTAACAAAAGATAAATAGACGTGTGCTGGAGTACATCACCAATCCCTCCATACCCCCTCAGTACTGCCAAGTACTGCATGGCCCCTCCAGCTCTTACAAGCAGAGTTTCTCTATGTAGTCGTGAAGAATTAATATAGCAAAATTTTCTCGTCTTCAGCGGCAGGCGCATGCATTTATAAATGAACATGTCAAGCTGCTGCGAGCTCTTGATTAGCTACCACACTGGTAGTTCACCATTCATAATATGCCTATAAAGTCTATGTTTTCCTAAAATCACTCATGGCTTTTAAAAGAAGAAGAAGAAAAAAAAAATATGTGAAGGCAACCAAAATGCATAAATTCACGCTAACTGCAGACAGACTTCTCTGCCCCTCTTGCTCAAAGCAAATGCAGTCGTTACATTATTGATCGCTGCTGTAAGTGCTTTTCATATGGGGAAGCAAACAAGAAACAACGGGTTGTCCCAGGATGTGCCTAGAGCTCTGGTTTTATCATTGAAGATAGGGTTTGATTTTTACTATGGATGGATGTAGAATCCCATTCAGTAGACTGCAAGATCATAAATTACTATTTTTTGTGCTTGGAGTTTATGAAATTTTAATGTCTCATAGTTGCTTAGTTGCTCTGCTTTTTGGTATTGTATTTTTTTTTTTTTTTCTTTTCTTGATCCTTGCAGGAAACAGACCTGGTCCCAGAGAGGAGAAGGGTGTAACACCATGGGACACATTTTTCAGTGAGCACATCTGATGGCGTCTCAGGCTACCTGGGTGTATATCCCCAGACACCATTTATCATGAATTGCCTATTTAAAATGAATAATGAGTTCCCTGCCTGCTTGGCTGAGGAACCCGGCCAGATGCAGCAGAAAGGCTGCACGGAGCTGCTTGTGTGCCCTTGCACATCTGTGAAGAGCGCGTGCGCATTCGGCGCAGGCATGCAATTATCCCTAAATTCTTTGAAAATTTGGATGTTTTCTAGCCAGTGGCAACTGCCAGTATTTAATTTTGATCCACTCCCTGCAAAACCTAGCAAACAACCTGCCCCAGACTCAGTCAGCAGCGCAGTTATTTCCCCACCTGGGGAATCTCTCCTATCACTAAGGAAATGCGGCGTCATGGAGCTAAATTGTGTGTTGACGGGAGCCGCTCCATCTTAGGGCTGGTGATCAATATCTCCGCCATGGAGACAGCAATCCACTTTGGATGTATAAACCCCCCTGTCCAAATGTCATTGCATCGAGGACGGCCAGAGGTGAGGATCTGTCACCGTTGTTAACGGGGGCACGCCTGTGGTCGCAGCCACGGAAGAAGGAGGGGCTGATGATGGATTTCAGTTCAAGCTAACGCTTCCTTCGCCCTCACCTGGGAGATTTTGATGATAAAACTCTTAATTTGGCTGCAAATCATGGTAAGAAATCCAAAAGAAAAAACCAAAACAACAGTTAGGATGTTGAGGCTTTAACCCCTTGCATGGAGAACGCCTTTGCTCCCAGATCCCCACCTCCATCCCCAAATCTGCTGGTAACCCAGCCACCCCAGCTCCAGCTTGACCCTGCACCCCATCCTGGCATGGGGGGAGCTCGTCCCCCAAGTCGTGACTCACTCTGTCCAGTGACTGGAGGGGACATAGCAGAACATGAGACGCCGTATGTGATAAGGGAGCCAACAGACCACGAAGGCAATCACCACAGCACCTGCAAGGTATGAAAAGAGCCCATTACTTTTCATGAGCAATTCTTCATCGGGGTGAAAAAAGGACCTGTCTGTGCAGTGTTCATCACTGTAAACTGTTTCCCTAAAGCCCCACTTTGTTCCTCTATTGCCATCGTGCAAAGAATAAATAACCCTGAGGGACAACCAGCCTGCAAATGTCGGTGAAAACAAGCATAATAGCAATAATAGAAAACAGCAATGAGCACAGGGGCGGTGATGTTAAGAGCAAAGGAAGATCCGATGCAGATAAAGGTGCCTCGTTCAGACATGGGCATAAACAGAACTGTGTTTGCATCTGCCCCTGCGTTGCACGCCCTTGTGGCACTGGGTCTTTTGTCCTGAGTACTTGCAGAGACACTTTGTGTGTGCTTTTCGTCCAGGTAGACAGGGAGCCAGGGCCGCTATAATAAAGGGTTGTCAGGCTCTGGAATGGGCTGCCCAGAGAGGTGGTCGAGTCCCCATCCCTGGAGGTATTTAAAAGCTGGGTAGATGAGGTGCTTAGGGACAGGGTTTAGTGGTGGGATGGCAGGGTTAGGTTAAAGGTTGGACTCGATGATCTCAAAGGTCTTTTCCAACCAAGGTGATTCTATGATTCTATGATTCTATCAATCCCATTAGTTTGTCCCACGGAGCCACGGGCCACAGCCCCCACGGTGATGGGGGTCACTAAGCAGCCTCAGGAGCTGCTTTCCGGTGGCAGGGCTCAGCCTCTTGTTCTACGTTTGTGCAATACCTGAGACAGTGATTACAAGAAGTTTGGGTCTGGACATTGCTGTAATAAAGATGATTAATTAAAGGGTAAGCAGAGAAAGACGCTATGTTTTTTTTCTCTTCCACGTTCCTGCCGAGGGACGTCAAACAGTGGAAAATAAAATGCAACAACTCTGAAGGTTAAAAATGCTGTTAGAGTGCGTTTGTCAATCTGGATTAAAAAATAGATATATCAGGCAATCAAAGGAAAGATTTGTTTCCTTTTGTAATATTCATTCCAACCTCCGTATGAAATGACAGGATTCTGGCAAAATCCTAGCAGGAAATAAAGAAATCTCAGTTAAAACATAACACAATAAAAGACAAGAAGAAAATCAAGGCTAAATAAAATAATTATGTTAATTTTTTATCCCAAATTTGCTCTACAGAGAATAAGGGCCGCATCGCTCTTGTCCTTTTTGTGACCTCTGAAGGACTCGGAAGCAGCAGAGCTCTCTTACAGAGCTACGCACCACCAGTGCGATGCGGATTTGGCACGTGGAGGCACAGTCTGCTTTTCCTTCTGCCTTGGGATTGAAAATATTTATGTGGGATATGTCCCAAACCCAGACACTGTCATCCCACAGGACTATGCCATAGCTCATAGAGGAGATATGCAGAAGATGTGTTCCACTTGAAAAACGTGGTCCGGGAGGAGCAAGTCTGGCCGTGGTTGCATCTCCCCATCATTGTTACTCAGCCAAGAGGCACAGGGGAGGTTTCAGTAATGTAGTGGGCAGGGAAGTGTCTGTGCCCTATTTTTGCAGGTGTCCTCATTAGCAGAGTCACTGCCTAATTTGTAGAGAAATTAAATCATTCCCCGTGTCTAGCTCCGTGCTCACAGCCTTACTTCAACCCCGTGTGCTATCTCTTTTCTTAAACACATAATTAACAACGGAGACAGTTACATTCTGTGAGCGTCAGCCTGCATGATGCGTGAGAGCTTCTTCCAGGAATGCACCAAAAGCCATTTATTCAATAAAGTTTCAGGCAGCTGAAGGGACATGTTTTGGAAAGAAGGCTAGAGGCTCTGTTTTTATACTTTTGTCCAAGAGAATTCATTATTTCAATCTGAATATTTTTTGGCTGCTATATGGTCATTGTGATGGCAGATATAAATCATCACTAGATGGCCTGCAGCTCTTCAGATGCCAGCAAGTGCATGAATTTGACTGGCGTCTGATCCTGCCTTGAGGAGCTTTGTTGGGACTTTGATGGGGACAGCCCAGAAATGACATGTGGCACAGGAGAAGTGGGGAGGTCCACCAGCAAGCTCGGAGGGAGCGCTGGGTGCCTGCCTTGCTCTTTCACATTTCTGGGCACCTACTTTTGGCCACCTCCAGAAATTAATTTCTCTGTTGGACGGACCTTTGGTTTGCCCTGCATGGAGCAGCCCACCCGTGACTCCCCAGGAGATCCCTCCCAGGGGCCGCAGGAGAAGCGATACTCTCCAGCCTCACCCCCTCCATCCATCAGCCCCGGGCCAACGGGAATGAGCCAACATAGCAGCTCCAGTCCATTCCCTTTCCCAGTGCCTGTACAGGATTAGCTGGGTTTTCAGGCTGTGAAAGCCGCTCCCTGAATGGCTCCCAACGCAAGTTCATTTGTGCACATGGTAATTTTTGCAGAAACCTCCATGCACTGGCACTTCCCAGCTGCTTGCCCCTGCACGCAGCTCTTCAAGAACAGCAGGATCTGGATTCTTTCTGCAGCCCATTTTAAGAGCCTCACACATCTGCCTGTTAAGTTTATCAACACGTTAAATGAAAGCGGTTTTCTCCTGGTAAGGGATCTCTGCTTCTGTTGCTCAGACAATTGCTGTGCCAAATAATGTGGAGGCAGGGATCTATAGCAGCAAAAAACACATATTGAGAGAAATACCTGCCTAACTTCAGCAAATGAAGAGTCAATTCTAACTAATCTGTAGTAATTCTGTAATATCACATGCAATCGCTCTGCAATTAAAGCTCTATTAAACACATAGCTAAGTGCATTGGAGACACTTATGGTCTGATTTTCAAATCCCAGCTGGGTAGCACGCTGTGCGGGTCTGTGCCACCAGCCTCTGCCATGCAGATTAGGAGACCCTGACCTGTATATGTCACCCTTAATCCGTATGTTTCAATTTTATCATACAAGGGATCAAGCAGATTTAGAGTGGCAATCCTGCCCTGTTGGGTCCCCTCCCCAGGGAAGAATCTGAAACACAGGAATGTGTTAACTTGCATCTAACACAGCATGAAAGTGCCCTTTTCTGCCCGGTACCTGGTGCCTTTTGCTGCCGTCTTGTGCCTCCCCAGGCACATGTTTATCAAAACAGATGAGCTGTAAAACAAATGATGGGCAAAGTGGCTGCCAAAATGATTTTTTATTATTGTTACTGGCTCCTAGGACTTGTTCTCCATCATCCTGAGGCTTCACACAGGGGTTTCTTTGGTGGTGTAAGATGGAGCAGGTCAGCCTGGTGGAGCTGAGCACTGCCTGGGGAAGGATTCAACCCAATGCACGGTGGGGGTGACTGTCCAGAATGGTGTTTGTGAGGTTGGAGATCTCCTGCCTCTATTTTTTTAACTAAAAATACACCAGACCCATCCATCACTTCTAATTGATTCAATGTGGTTTTAATAGGAGCAGAGCTGATCCATGAAATTCTGATATTTCCCACATTTGAGCAAGTGAGGTGCCAAACCTGCAAGCCTGGGGCTGGGGAGCAGAGAGGAGACCCGAGCAAGCTGACCCTGGCATGCCGGGGATGCTGGGGAATGATCCTTCCACTGAGCTGCATCTTCATTTCCCTTCTAAATCAAGCTCCCCATTTAAAAGTGTGTTAAAACCTGAATTATTGCATCCTGTGGCTTTCTATTTTGTCTTAAAATGGCTCAATGCTCTGTTTGAACTGCATCCCAAGGAAGAAGGGGAGAGAGGACGGAGAAGCAGCGGAGAGACGAGCCTGTGTTTGTTTATCGCGCAGGAAGTCCTGCAGAGGGAAACATCAATTTTGAGTGGCATCTTTTTCATTGTGCAAAAGAAGATTTAAACTGTGCCAGTCTTGATTTTCAGACTAAACTAGATGTGGAAGCAATCCTGGAAGTTAAATTATATTAGACGGCACTGAGTATTTTATTTTACCTTGTGTGTATCCTGTGGCTGAGGCTGGGAGACAGCCCTTCGCCAGGGACAACATCTTGAAAAACTCACGTTGGGTTAACGTGAGCACGGGGCAATGTATCACGTGTAACCAGTCCCTGGTGGGTGCTTGGTGGCCAGCTCGGCTGAGTGTGGGAGCCACATGCAGGAGGGATTTTCAGCCCCCCCGTCCCTCTTTGGGGCCATCAGAGCCTTGGTGTGACTCAGAGCCCTGGGACAGCGATGGGTAATGAGCTCTGCTGCCAACTCACATGGGACCCGGGGGATCTGCTGCAGTGCAAAGCACTTGGATGGTGTCTTCCACCTCGCTTTAGCTCTTCCATCCCGTCCGGGTTTGTGCTGAGTCACAGCCCTGCAGCTGTGGGGTGGCCCTCGGCGAGGGTATCCCTCTGTCCTTTCTCTCCAGGAGAGGGAGAAAAGAGATGCTGCTCCCTCTTCTAGCCACCTCCACTGTTGCTAAGGCCTCCAGAGAATCTCAGCTCCATCATTCCTTTATAACTATGAATGTTCATATTATTTTGGCCAATTTATTTCTTTTTCTCTGCATTTCAAGGGGAGCAGAAGCGCATACAGCTGGGGAATAGCGTGCTGTAATTTCTGAGCAAAGGCAGGAGCTGTTTGGGTAGGTACTGACCCATCTGAACAACATCTCTCAGCCATTTCTGCATTTCAGCTCATCAGCGGCCGTGTGTCTCCGACGCTGCCCAAGGAATGCACGCTCCAGCTGGTACAGAATAACGTATACGACAGTGTTATGGGGCTCACGTCAGGGATTTGCGTTAATGCTGATCTCTGGAGAAACAGTCCTTGTGTATTCAAAGCTCTTGGGTTTTATATACTTACTTAGTCGACGCCATCGCAAGAGAATCTTTCCCAAAGGGGAGCAAGAGTCACCGTGCCGTTTGATATGAGAGATGGCAAAAGCTGGGCCAAGCATAGATGTAGCTGGCACTGCCGAGTTAAACCTCGAGGCGCTGTTTATATTAACGCAATGCTCTACCTGACAGGTCCTAGGCAATATTTATACCAGTGGGCCCCGAACTAGGGATTATGGCAGCTGCAAGGGTGGGTATGAGCCTAGGAA